CTGGTTCCAAAACTAGGCAAAAAATCCCCCACCAAAACCCAAACGGTTGCCGTGTCAGAGCCTCGGCCACGCGTGTGCCCCCGGGTCCCGGCTGGGTCGGCCATGAATGTGCACCCAACATGAGGAACACCAACCCTTCCCAGGGGTTGTCTTTGCTCTTGGGCGCTGGTGGGGCTCCTGGGCACCAACGGTGGGAAAAGCCACCCCGGGGCCTGGAATTCTTCAGGTTGCGCCAGTTTGGAAATCACAAACTCTTCAGTTTCAGATGAATGAGCTGACATCACAGGGACGCTGCAAAAAAAAACCGCCAAACCCTCTCCTGGTTTCGTTGGGCCATGGTCAAAGACAGCTTTGACACACCACAGGGCAGCGGGCCCAGAGGCTGGGGCAGCCCCCGCCCCGCCCCTGGCTGGCAAAGGCGAAACGTTTCCACAACCAGGGTTTTTCCTAGGTGCAAAAACAACGGGAGAATTCCAACGATGTTGTGAATCATTGTAAAGATACTTTGTTGGATATTGTGTCGAATATTTAAACAGGGTATCTAAGGAGCATCCCTGATCCCCTGTGTCCCAGCAGGAGTTCCAGCTCAGCTGAGTCCACTTGATGCCGATACTCCCCGGGCCGCATTTCAAGTTGTGGAACATTCTGAAGCTTCTCCCTCAGACGCTGAGGGATTTCATACAGCATTTTCCTCCCTGGGCTTTGAAAGTTGAGTTTTTTCTAACCCTTGCCAGCAGAGGCTCTGGTGGAACCAACCCACCGAGGGCTCTAAAGCGGGGGTGGGGACTTCAGCTTCAAATCAACTGCACAGTATTTAATTTAATGGAGTAGCACGGGTGCGGGGGTCAGGTACGGGATGGTGGGATGCAGACCGCAGCCTGGTGACTTCTCCAGAGGTGCTCGCATCTGTCTTTGTCAGAATCCAAGCCCGCATCCATTTACTTGAATAGATATTTAGACAAACACCGAGATTTTAGCACTCACCCCGAGGTGTGATGGTGAGCAATACCCTTCCTGGCCGGCACAGCAGAGGGTTGCTTTGGGGTGGCCACCTTGCTGCTCTCCTTGCCAACACGCCTGCCACAGCCACGCACCGTTACCCTCAGGTGTAACACACCACCACCGTGCGGTAGTGGGTCAGCTCCTCTTCGCTCCATTGACTGAGTTGGGATTGTGCAGCCTGGAGAAGACTCCAGGTAGACCTTACAGCAGTCTTCCAGTACCAAAAGGGGCTACAGGAAAGATGGGGAGAGACTTTTTGTCAGGGAGTGTAGGACGAGGGGGAATGGTTTTAAACTGAAAGAGGGTGGATTTAGATTAGATGTTAGGAAGAAATTCCTTACTCTGAGGGTGGTGAGACACTGGAACAGGTTGCCCAGAGACGTTGTGGAGGCCCCATCCCTGGAGGTGTTTAAGGCCAGGCTGGATGGGGCTTTGAGCAGCCTGGTCTAGTGGGAGGTGTCCCTGCCCATGGCAGGGGGGTTGGAACTAGATGATCTTCAAGGTCCCCTCCAACTCTAACCATTCTATGATCTTTTTTTCAGAGTCTGATGAAGACCCGTGGTGATTTGAGATTTATGCTGGAGGTTGGTGGGTTTTTTTCAGGCAAGTATAAAAGTGGACTCTTGCACCACTTCAGTGCTTTTTTAACTGTGACATTGCACTTGTAGCTTTCAGAAAGCTTCTGAGTAAAACTTAGCAAAGCACATAAATAACCTGAGAATGTAGCTTTCTTTCAATAAGGTTCAATGAAAATTCTTTCAATTTTCATTTTCTAAGTAATTTTAAAGTTTTGATGTTTCCTGCCTCTTTAGAAAAAAATTTAAACACCTTTTACAATTTACATTTCTAGAAGAGTTTCTTCATTGTATATTTAAAAAAACAAACAAACCAAACAAACAAACAAAAAACTCATTCATTAGCAGTTACAGAAGTGGCAACCGTGTTTGCAAATCTTCCCAACTGGCCTTACTTCTACTTAAGTATTTCTGGTTCCCAAGGGCAAACTTCTTTCTCCAATCCCCTTGTCTGCTTGCTTGTCATTTCCTTCATCCAGAAGAGGAACTCTGTAAAACAGGTATGTTATGGATTTTTATATATATATTTTTAATATATGGGTTTGTATGTTCTATGTTACAGATTTGTTTCAAAGAGGTTGCCCTAAAATCTTAACCTTAGGTCCCTTGCCAAAGCATCACACGCTCTTGCAGCCTCCATGTTTCATTTCTCCTGCTCTGAGGATAATCTCCCCTGGTTTGGAGCGGGGTGCCTGGACGACAGCCACGCTCCAATATTAACCCAGGCTGCAGCTCTGAGCTGCTCTTGGGGCAGAGGGAGGCCAGAATCCCACCCGAGCTTTGCCTTTCCGAAAGATGGGGACGCGACTGGCTCAGACTACTTGGCTCCGAAAAACCTAACCCAACTTTCAGTCCAGCTTCAGTAAGTGGTTTCGGCATCGCTGTTGCCTGCCTCTCTTCCTGAATAACTCGCCTTACTCGCAGACAGCTCTTTGCTCAGTGCTCTCCTTATCCCAGCCCAACACAAAAGACGCAGTTCCCTGGTGAAAAGCTCCTTTGAGCTCCAAGTTGAACATTGCCCCTAAGTCAACCCTGAGCCATTCACAAACCCCCTTAACTCTAGTGGCTGCCCCATCGGATTTGTAGGTTAAAACTCAAGTTACACCACTCCTTAGCTGCACCAGCAGTCAAGTGCTGTCAGTTCTCCAGTGCTTTCCAAAAAAATCCCGCATGTGCACCCCAAGAAATCTTAGTGGCACACAGAAGTGGCTGCAGCAATTATTTTGTGGTTGGGATGCTTTCGAGCAGCTTGAATGTAGATAATTCGGCAGTGAATATGTATCCTGAAAGAAATGATCCACATCAAAGCCTGTAATGTCTGCAAAAAAATGCAATAGTAAATAAAAACTTCTGCCAAAACAAGAAACTTGACGTTCAGGCCAAGATGGATTGTTTCCATTCTGGATCAGCTGGGAAGTGGGGAGTTGAAACTGGGTTTGTAATAGAAAGCATACTTCATTATTAATAACCATCTGTTATGAAAATAAAGGCGCTGCATTTA